CCCACTCACCCACTCACCAACCCATCCATCCTTCTATTCATCCCCCCACTCACCGACCCATCCATCCTTCTGTTCATCCCCCCACTCCCCCACTCACCAACCCATCCATCCTTCTATTCATCCCCCCACTCACCCACTCACCAACCCATCCATCCTTCTATTCATCCCCCCACTCACCGACCCATCCATCCTTCTGTTCATCCCCCCACTCACCCACTCACCAACCCATCCATCCTTCTATTCATCCCCCCACTCACCCACTAACCAACCAATTCATCCCCCCACTCACCCACTCACCAACCCATCCATCCTTCTATTCATCCCCCCACTCACCAACCCATGCATCCGTCTGTTCATCCCCCCACTCACCCACTAACCAACCAATTCATCCCCCCACTCACCCACTCACCAACCCATCCATCCTTCTATTCATCCCCCCACTCACCGACCCATCCATCCTTCTGTTCATCCCCCCACTCACCCACTAACCAACCAATTCATCCCCCCACTCACCCACTCACCAACCCATCCATCCTTCTATTCATCCCCCCACTCACCCACTCACCAACCCACTCATCCCCCCACTCACCAACCCATGCATCCTTCTGTTCATCCCCCCACTCACCAACCCATTCATCCCCCAGCTCACCCACTCACCAACCCACTCATCCCCCCACTCACCAACCCATGCATCCTTCTGTTCATCCCCCCACTCACCAACCCATTCATACCCCCACTCACCCCCTCACCAACCCATTCATCCCCCCACTCACCCACTCACCAACCAATTCATCCCCCCACTCACCCACTCACCAACCCATTCATCCCCCCACTCACCCACTCACCAACCCATTCATCCCCCCACTCACCCACTCACGAACCCATGCATCCTTCTATTCATCCCCCCACTCACCCACTCACCAACCCATCCATCCGTCTGTTCATCCCCCCACTCACCCACTCACCAACCCATCCATCCTTCTATTCATCCCCCCACTCACCCACTCACCAGCCCATTCATGCCCCCACTCACCCACTCACCAACCCACTCATCCCCCCACTCACCAACCCATGCATCCTTCTGTTCATCCCCCCACTCACCCACTCACCAACCCATTCATACCCCCACTCACCCCCTCACCAACCCATTCATCCCCCCACTTACCCACTCACCAACTCATTCATCCCCCCACTCACCCACTCACCAACCCATTCATCCTGTCATTCCACAGACACCCACTCACCAACCCATTCATCCCCCCACTCACCAACCCATTCATCCCCCCACTCACCCACTCACCAACCCATTCATACCCCCACTCACCCCCTCACCAACCCATTCATCCCCCCACTTACCCACTCACCAACTCATTCATCCCCCCACTCACCCACTCACCAACCCATTCATCCTGTCATTCCACAGACACCCACTCACCAACCCATTCATCCCCCCACTCACCAACCCACTCATCCCCCCACTCACCAACCTATGCATCCTTCTGTTCATCCCCCCACTCACCCACTCACCAACCCATTCATCCCCCCACTCACCCACTCACCATCCCATTCATCCCCCCACTCACCCACTCACCAACCCATGCATCTTTCTGTTCATCCCCCCACTCACCCACTGACCAACCCATTCATCCTGTCATTCCACAGACACCCACTCACCAACCCATTCATCCCCCCACTCACCAACCCACTCATCCCCCCACTCACCAACCTATGCATCCTTCTGTTCATCCCCCCACTCACCCACTCACCAACCCATTCATCCCCCCACTCACCAACCCACTCATCCCCCCACTCACCAACCTATGCATCCTTCTGTTCATCCCCCCACTCACCCACTCACCAACCCACTCATCCCCCCACTCACCAACCTATGCATCCTTCTGTTCATCCCCCACTCACCCACTCACCAACCCATTCATACCCCCACTCACCCACTCACCAACCCATTCATCCCCCCACTCACCCACTCACCAACCCATTCATCCCCCCACTCACCCCCTCACCAACCCATTCATCCCCCCACTCACCCACTCACCAACCCATTCATCCCCCCACTCACCCACTCACCAACCCATTCATCCTGTCATTCCACAGATACAAAAACCTGGCCAGTTCAATTCCAGACAGTGAAGACTTTGCTGGGTGTGACAACGATAACATTGCTGCATGTGGAGACAAACTCGTGTTATAACAAACACGTGAAACGTGTCCACGCTCCTTCCACCGTGTTCATGCAGAAATAAATACACATGCTAGTTGTATTCCGTGTCCTTTGCGTAGTGGACAAGAGGAGGCCGCGTCCCTGTCGTCATGAAGTTACATGGACGCTCTGAGACACACACACAGCGCTGCCCACACACAGATAACACGCACCTCCCAACACACTTCCGTTTTCAGAGTAACACACAGAGTGTGAAGCACCACACCCACCAGTCACACTGGTCAGTGTGTGTTTGTGACAGGGTGTGGTTGTGAGCCACTCACTGTTGGTGATGTGTTCTATTTCTACATTGTGGTTGTCAAGAGAGCAGCTTGTGAAAGAATAAACCAAAAGTTATTGTTTAAACCGTCATGGTCGTTCAATGATCTTTGACCTGAGAATGAACCCCTTCTGGTAAAACACTATTCCAGTGAAATGAATAGTTCTGCAATTTCTGAAATTCACTTAAAAATCCCCTTTCTTTGCAAGACTGAGTTTAGGAGACGGGATATTTTATGTTACCTGAATGTGATATAATACATCATTTATCTAAAACGTCTATATATAAAAAATAAATAAACGTACGCCTCACTAATTCATCAACCTCACATGTTCTGCACTTCAAAAGGCCTGCCAAGAAATAACCCAACACAAAACTCCCCTGACCTCATGCAGAAACCTTTCTGGTATTCTTATCTTAACTGGTTCTGTTGGTTCGTACCAGCGAGCCACAACCGACTGCGACTCATGATCAACGCCCCAAAAAGCCTTTCTGTGTAGTCTGCATGTCGCCCCGTCTGCGTGGCCCCGGGTTCTCCGGCTTCCTTCCACAGTCCAAAGACTAGAGTTCCTGTGAATAGTCCGTGGACGTGAGTGTGGACGCTTGTTTGTCTCTGTGTCAGCCCACCTAGAGGACAACCCACCAGTGAAGACCTATAAGGAAACGATAGCAGCCGACCCTCACGAGACCCTCACGCCAGAGGAACTTCCACCAGACCGTTCTCCTCACTCACTCATGTTTCTCCTCACTCACTCATGTTTCTCCTCACTCACTCATGTTTGAGCGGTTCTTCGGCCCAATGTTTCATACTTTGCTCTTTTCGCTCAGTGAGCTGGTTCTCGAAAGCCGGGTTGAAGCCGCTGGAGAAGATACTGAATCATTGAAAACATTGACAACAAAAGGCTTTACACTTTCCACTCCCAACAAACAGGCATCGTGTTGCCAATTGTGAGCATTTGTCAGGAACCAACGTGTTTCTATGTTGTGCTAGGCTAAGCTAACATCGTCGTCAGTGACAGGAAAAATAGATAAGTTCATTTCCCAAGATGTCCAAACCTACAATTCATCAATGCCTTGTTTGTGTGTTAGTGGAGGATTCACAGTCCTTGATCTAAAGACTCCTGATTTTAGCTCGTCTGGAAAAACAAGCAAGCTATTTCTGTTGCAACGTGTGTGTTAATGTCCGTGTGTGTGAGTGTGTGTGTGTGTGTGTGTGTGTGTGTGTGTGTGTGTGTGTGTGCGTCATTGGTCACCAGAAACAGGCACATGCTGCAGGACCATTTTTGGTCCTCGCTCTCTTTCCATGGTCACGCTGTCGTCCTGGCCCCTCGTGGGGTTGAGCTCAGACACGGAGATGTCTGGAGGAGGTTGGCCCAGATGGGCCTGAAGGAGACGGGGAGGAGGAGCACAGCTGATAGATGACCTTCACACATCCTGCAGGCTTATAACCCACTGAGATATCTCCTCTGGCACTCACCAAGGAGTGGCAGGGCATTGCCACTTCCTAATCAGGGCTGGTGTGAAATGACTGTTTGCACGAAGATATCACGTATTTGTTTCTAGACACGTAGATTAGATGCATTTAATCACAGAGATCCATTTCCAGATGTAAAAGTTAGTGAGAACAGCATCACAAAACTCGCCGTGCTGAGTAATGTGTGAGAGAACGTCGGAATCACAATTCCTCACATTCCAAGGAGCAACGTTTGTTCTGCATTGTAGATGATAATGACATGAGCTCCTCGTGCGTTTTAATGAGATAAGAAAGTAGGCCACAGAAAGCCAGGGCCTGTAACTATGTATGATGCAATAGTGACATCTAGGGGCCATTTTATAGAGTGCTTTAGCTCCCTCCACCACAGGGACCTCCACCCCAGGGACCTCCACCACAGGAACCTCCACCCAGCTGTCAGACATCCTTCACTCATCCTGGTTTTCCCCCTTCTTCACCACAGTGTCTGGACTCCAGGGGGGATTCTGCCGAGCAGAACTCACGGCCCCTTGATTCTCCCGGTTTAGGGTGGATTGTGCATTGTTTCATGTTACATGGTGTAATACATGTTAGTGAGTGAGTTCTTCTTCTTCTTCTTCTTCTAATTCTACCCGCACTTGTTTGCTGTACTTAGTGATGATGAAGCCGAGGCTTTCTATGGTCCTCATGGGCCGAAGCTCCACTCTGTCATCTGGTGGACAACAAATGTGCAAGTGCACCTCCAAGTACTGGAGCTTGTTCTTTTCCACTTTATCCACACGGGGAGTGGACACATGTTGACGGCACAGCTCAAGTTTAGTGGGGTTAGACGGCAACGACGGCGCGATAAAACTACACTTCCCAGCATGCAGCTGAAAACGTTAGATTTATGTTTAATACATTGTGCGGCCATGTTTTTTAATCAGGAGTGTTTTCATATGACCGAGGAGCTGCTGGAAGAGGAAATGACGCGTTGAGCACCGCGCGCGTCCTTATAAGGAAGCGGAAGTGACGTCTACTTCCTTTCCTCCATTAGGTGAGTACGTGGTGACTGCGTGTTTTCTGCTCTCCGCTCCACACACGGATTTCTGTTCTGCTTCACAAATGCCGTCCTCGATCTAACCCCTTGCCCCATCGTTTCATCCCTTAACAGATCGCAACCATGGGCCGCCGACCAGCCCGCTGGTAAGTTTAGTCCGAACCGGCCCGGTTCGCCCCGCGCGAGCAAAATGGCAGCTGCTCGGACCGCCGCCATGTGCGCCGCGCTGCCCGCGACCCGCTGTCCGCGGACCCCGGCCGCTCGCACCGACCGACCGCGCGTCCGTTCGCTCTCACGCCGACTCGCGTCTTCAATTGAGACGCCAACCGCAGCTTGACGAACGCGGCTTAGGCTAAAGTAGTTTAGCATTGAGCTAACGTTAGCACACCAGGCTAACATGGCCGCTCCACTCACCAGGCGGCTGTAAACGGCTTACATGTATCTAGGACGCCTGTAGCTTTGACATATTAACATGTATGATGAACCTGTAAATAGTCTAATTCAGCTAAAAACTATTTAATTTAAATGTTCTGTGATATCTGCGAGCTGCTGAGACGCTATAAAGTGTCTTTGTCCGTTGCGTCGTAGGGCTCTGACGTCCATGAGCTTCCCTAGTTATCTTCTCAGCCCCGCGAGGCCTTCAGCTCATCGATCGAGTTGAAGTTTGAGTGAATCTGTGTTTGCTGTAAAGGCAGATCGTGTATTCTGTTTCTAACCGGCTCACACCAACATTTAAACAACGATGGATGAAGTTGGACCACTAGTTATGTGCCATTGTCTCCACAGCTATCGTTACTGCAAGAACAAGCCCTACCCCAAGTCCCGCTTCTGCAGGGGGGTCCCCGGTGAGCCTCTACTGTTGAAATACGACTCAATGCAAAAGCTTGTTTTAGGAGTAAACTCACTGAATTTATGTGACATTTTCTGTTGGAAATTGAACTGCCGTTGGTTACATTTTCTGCTAAGATCTGTAATTGCAAATCCTGCAGCTTATTAAGCCGACCAGTTGTGCTCCGTGTGTTCCTGGTGTGCAAAGGCTGCAGACAGTGACTCAGTGGATGTGTATGTTCTCAGCTGGGAAGTGCTGAGCGCTTTAAGGGACCGCTGAGACAAAATGTTGTCCATACCTGGGTAACGGTGGACAAGCCACTGCTTCCCACTCACATGTGATCAGATTACATGTTGTACATCTATCACATTCAGTCTGATGGCATCATTTCCTGCCTGGTTTCCTTGTGTTTAGATCCTAAGATCAGGATCTTCGACCTGGGCAGGAAGAAGGCCAAGGTAGACGAGTTCCCCCTGTGTGGCCACATGGTGTCTGATGAGTACGAGCAGCTGTCTTCTGAAGGTGAGGAGCCCCGAGAGAAACCCTTCCAGCACATGGGACAGAGGTGTCATTGAGGTGTTTATATCGTCCCATGCAGGTCAGGTGGCTGAAACTCAATCACCTTACCGTTCAGATATAAATCTATAGGGTCACTGCTGTCATGATCAATTCAACACATCATTTCTTAGATGAGTTGCAGCCATAGTGCACCTCTCCAAAGACGTCTGTCGGGTTTGATCCCTGTCCGTCATAGCAGCTGGATGATCACTGGAAATGTCAAAAGGTGTTTGACCTCATGTATAAAGCTCCGTCCTGCAGTCAAGTGGCACCACATGTTGCCGCCCAGTGGGCCTCTTTGGTAAGCAGAACTGGCGCTGCGGGATGAACCGAAGAATTACTACTAGTGTTGAAAAGTAGCCTTGATTTAGAAAACTCGATGCAATCCAAAACCAGACCAAATCAAAACCAAGGCACCAAAAAAATCAAACATCAGCAGGTTGTGGCCTCTTGTACTAAAGCACAGGACAGTTGAGCGTGATCGGTCTACTGCAGGGGAATTAAAACCATTGCATTAAAGGGGCGAGATATTCACCCCGATGAAAAAGACAAAGCAATATTCCCGTCTGCATGATCTTAAATGGTGGTTTGCAGGTTTACGTGTGCATGTGTCCATGTTGGTGTGCATTTTACAAAGGGTACATTTTTGTCAGTAAATGATAGATTTGCGATGTTTGTGTGTCCGTGGAGACGGCTCGGCTGTGGCTGAAGATGGCACTTTCCTCGACTTATTTAAGTCTGACAGTGTTTCCCAAACTGGTGTCTTAATGGTCTCTCTCCCCCCCCCACCCCCACACTATAGCTCTGGAGGCGGCTCGCATCTGTGCCAACAAGTACATGGTGAAGACCTGCGGTAAGGATGGTTTCCACATCCGCATGCGTCTCCATCCCTTCCACGTGATCCGCATCAACAAAATGTTGTCCTGTGCTGGAGCTGATCGGTGAGTGATGGACACACAGTCACAGGTAGCCGTCATAATAAATGATGTCATACGTGGGGATGTAGAGTTACTTGTCCTGGCTGGTGGTACGGGAAGACGAAGCTGTATTAAGGAGAAGGTCCTATCTGCTCCTCAGGCTCCAGACTGGGATGCGTGGTGCGTTCGGTAAACCCCCTTGGCACGTGGGCCGTGTCAACAATGGTCAAGTGATCATTGTCTGTACGCACCAAGGCCCAGAACAAGGAGCACGTGGGTGGGAGCTCTGCGCAGAGCCCAAGTTCAAGTTCTCTGGACGGCAGAAGGTAAAGTGACCTTTGCTGAGCTGCCGTGCTCCCCAGGGGAGCCGCCAGCGCTGCAGCTTATTAAGCCGACTGGTCTCGCTGCTGTGCGGTTCTGGTGTGCAAAGGCTGCAGACAGTAACTCTGTGGTTGTGTATGTCCTCAGCTGGGAGGTGCTGAGTGCGTTAAGGGACCGCTGAGACAGATGCACCGTAGTGTCCCTCTAAAGGGCCTCCATAAGCCCGCTGTCACCTGATCATGTCGTCTCACTTTTCTCTTCCAGATCCACATTTCCAAGAAATACGGCTTCACCAAGTTTAATGCCACCGAATTTGATGAAATGATGGCTGAGAAGCGTCTGATCTCAGACGGCTGTGGGGTGAAGTACATCCCCAGCAGAGGCCCGCTGACCCGCTGGAAGGCCCTGCACGCCAAATAGAGCGCCTGCAGCTTTCTGTGACCAGACTACCAATAAAAGTGGATTGGATTCCAAAACCGGTTGCTTTCATTTCACTGTTTCTAGATCGGGGACATTGTTTCACATCTGCTGTGCTCTCCCAGCAGTCATCTGATACCAAAATGTAGACTTGTGAGGATGCAGAACTAGTCATTCAGGTCCTACTGAGGTCCGTATAGCATAAAAATGTCAACTTATGACTAGTTTACATTTCAACCATGAAAGAGCCAAGCGCGGAGATGAAGCATCCAGCAGCATGTGGGGGGTTCAAAACCCACTGTTTGCATCTGACGTATTTAACTTACTTTAATGAAGAGTCTACACAAAGTGCTCAGTGGGAAAACTAGACGCAAATACAGCTTTATGACCTGCATGTATTGATGTAATTAGATTACTAATTTCATTAATGCATTTAGAATGTCAGGTAAGCAAACTATGTACACCGTTTATATTCAATAAATCCGACATGTGAGCGGCGAACAAAGCGCAGCCTCCATGTTGCCTTTGAAACACTTGCTGTGCATAACCAGCAGTTCCTGGATCTCTGGACGAGGGGTCCCACGTTCTGCCCGTAGAACGTCAGTAAAAGAGATCGGAATGTCTCGCAGTATCAGTTGTGTATTTGAATATTTTCCCTACTGGGATCCCGCAGTACGATTTCATTAAATGGTTTTATAACGCTGAGTCAAACTAGATTTGCTTTAGAGGGATTTACAGTTTGTACACTCGCAACGTCCTCTGTTCTGAAACCATCTCCTCAGCACAGACCCCCCCTCCCCCCCTCAAAACAAAGCCTTGAGAAGGAGGAACCTTTGGAGAGAAACTGGAGGATCCCTCTATCACTACATGTCATTCAGCTGATGCTTTTGACCAAGGAAACCATATACAATATGGATCCAACCATAAGGAGGGGGTTAGAGGAGGTTGGAAAAGATCGAAAAGAGTTGTTTGAGGTTAGAAAATAAAGATTCAATTCTGGATTTGTAGAAAGAGCTTTTGGCAGCAGAGATAGAAGCAGAAAAAGAGAGATTGAAAGTCAAGCAGGTCGTTTATATTTACGCCGTCTCCTCTCCGATGCTCGAATGGCACAGAGAGTCTAGAGAGGAGAGTCTCTGCAGCAGCGTTCAGATCAGTGAGAAGGAATCAGTAGCAGGGAGAGCTGATAGAACAGAGGAGAGAGGGAGCGAACAGGCACACAGTCAGTTATAGAGAGTAGAAGATGAAGAAGTGGTCAGACACATGAAGTGGAGTTAGAGAGGTTGGTGGTGGAGCAGTTTCTAGTGAAGATGTAGTCAAGGTGATTGGTGGCTTTGTGAGTAGGAGGAGAGGGACTGAGTGACAGAGCGAAGGAAGAAAGTAGGTGTAAGAGGTCAGGTGACGTCTGTCTGGACGTTGAAGTCACCCAGGAGGACGGACAAAGCCGTGGATGTCGTGTGCAATGAAGAACAAAGCAGAGGCGCAACATGTGGAATTACATGAAATATTTGTATCTTTGAATTGTATGGACTGCTTCCTCTTTGTTATTCCTGTGTCAGGAACTCCCACGCAGACTGAAACTGTTGTTTCCTGCAACCATGTATATATACCTGTATTCATGCTCCTCATAGAAACCATTTCAGATAAGACGTCACTCTAAAAGGACCTGTTGTGACCCCGTGACCAGGCTCAGACCGTCAGAGACCTGAGGGCCGCATGAAGTCCCCACGAATCCACTAAAGTCATGTACACATACTTAGACAAATATCAAACATGTGACATATGAAACAACTGCACAGCATCTATTTGGTGTTTTAACAAGGTCCTTTGGAGGGATTTTAGTCACGTTCTTCAATTCTTGAGGGGTAAAACATGAAATAGCTCAATAGTCCATGTCATCAAAGGTCTCAACCTTCTACAGCAACTTCTAGGACATAGGGAAGGACATGCACTTCAGTCCTTGTGTCCTATCAGCCCTTTGACTGCAACGTTAGAAAGGCTACAAGGGCTACGAGACACTAGTGATGAACACCACTGTAGCTTCTCCCGCGGACCTCCTCTCTCCCCCTGAAGACCCCACCGAGAGGAAAAGTCTCACAGTCTGACACATGTGAAAGTACTTATGTCTGGTGGTGATTATTATTAGTGTTCCACTGTTATGAGACCAGTTATAAACTGAGCGTGACATGTAATGTCACACCTGATTCACTGCTGATAGCAGTCCAAAGCGTGCGTGGATGATGTGCAGAGAAGGACAGGAAACTGGACACACTGAAGATGGGAAATGTTTCTTTGTTCCAAATGTTTTCATTGGATTCAAGGTCAACAGACAACGAACCACTAAATGTCTTCTTTAGAGACATTAGTTCCATGAACACTGATACCTAAACTCCACTGACCTGTGTACGAATGTCACTAACTGAGTCCAGTGGTGGGGGTTTAGTCTCTTAACATAGTGACTAAGCAAACGCTCTTCCTTAAATCCCTCCCACAGGAAGTACAGCTTCCCCTTTACCAGAGAGAAGGGAAGAAAGAAGCTAAGAAGCTGGTGAGTGTTATTTGTTCTTTAGAAGAGCGACAAATCTTGTGAACTGAAATCGGAGATGTTTGTGTTTGAAGGATTGTGTGTGTGTGTGTTTGTGTGTGTGTGTGTGTGTGTGTGTGTGTGTCGGTGTGGGAAGGAGAGGAGAGAGATACGCACACGCAGACTGCTACTAACAGAACACATGTGCCCCAGTTGTGCTCTTTGTAAACACACATGAGCACGACTGTGTGCTGTGTAACACCGTGTACTACTGTGTAACACCGTGTAGTACTGTGTAACACCGTGTAGTACTGTGTAACCCCGTGTAGTACCGTGTAACACTGTGTAGTACTGTGTACACTGCGTAACACTGTGTAGTACTGTGTAACACCGTGTAGTACTGTGTTTCACTGTGTAACACGGTGTAACACTGTGTAGTACTGTGTAACACCGTGTAGTACCGTGTAACACCTTGCAGTACCGTGTAACACGGGGCAGTACTGTGTAACACTGTGCAGTACCGTGTAACACCGTGCAGTACCGTGTAACACGGTGCACTACCGTGTAACACTGTGTAGTACCGTGTAACACTGTGTAGTACCGTGTAACACTGTGCAGTACCGTGTAACACCGTGTAGTACCGTGTAACACCGTGCAGTACCGTGTAACACGGTGTAGTACCGTGTAACACCGTGTAGTACCGTGTAACACTGTGCAGTACCGTGTAACACCGTGTAGTACAGTGTAACACCGTGTAGTACTGTGTAACACCGTGTAGTACTGTGTAACACCGTGTAGTACTGTGTTTCACTGTGTAACATGGTGTAACACTGTGTAGTACTGTGTAACACTGGGTGCTGATGCAGCTGTTGAAGCCTACAGTGCAACACTGGGACCCCCCATGTTTACCATTCATGCTGTTGGTTCTCCCCCTGAACAGTGAGGAGAACAGGAGCCTCTGCTGCCCTTTGACCTTTCCCACTGTGTTGTATGATAGTGCTATGATGACTCATTCCAAAACTCAATAAATACAACTACTACAGTCAATGACATCATCTACACACATTGTTCTCACACACATACTGTCTGTTGCAGCTCTGCCATGCGGGCCTCTTTCCTCCTCCTCCTCCTCACCTTCCTCGTGGGCCTGTGTGATGTTGAAGGCGACACCGATTTTAGAGTCTGTGCCTTCAACCTCCATCACTTTGGGGACTCCAAGTCCAAGAAGACCAATGTCATGCACACTCTTGTCCGGGTAAGACATGAATCAGTCCTTTCACCTCATTATTAAGTATGTTTGGGTTGAAATTTGTAGCATAACAATTATTATTTACAATATTCTATTAACACAACAGGTGCTGCTAAAGAGAAAAACATATTTCCATTGGATTCTTAAAATGAAGTTAAAATGTAAAAGTCAAGTAGGACAACCTTAACTTCATGGTAGGGAGGCTGAAGGCCATGGCTTAGCCCCATACCCATAATGCAACATTCAGTCCTGTGGGACACAAAACAAATCCCCCCCTCATTGCCGTGATCCTCGTTCCAGATCATCGCTCGCTGTGACGTGTGTTTGCTTCAGGAAGTGAGAGACAGTCAAGAGTTAGCTGTTCCACAGCTCCTCAGGCGCCTCAACAGGTGACTTAGAACACACACACACACACACACACACACACACACACACACTGCGGCAGAGGCAGCAGGATCACCTCATCGCGTCTCTTCGCCTCGTTCAGCTATGACCCTGAACACGACTACGCGTCAGTGTCCAGCGAGAGACTGGGCCGGACCGCCTCGTACCAGGAGCAGTACGTGTTTGTTTACAGGTGGGCCCAACTCAGCCAGACGTTGACACGTTAAGTAGAGGCAGTGATGTTTGACGTGAAACCTCTGAACGCTGCAGGACCGACACAGCGACTCTCACCGGTCAGTATCAGTACCCGGACGACCGCCCAGGAGATGTCGACGCTTTCGCCAGAGAGCCCTTTGTTGTCCGCTTCAACGCCCCCAGGACAGGTGAGCTCAGACCCCCCCTCCCCCCGTGATGATGAGAAGCATTGTGATGCACAGTCACAGAAACCCCCCCACCAATCTCTCTCCATGTATTCAGACATACGGGAGTTTGTCCTCATACCTCAGCACACCACTCCGACCAACACCACCAAGGAGCTGGACGCACTCTACGATGTGCTGCAACATGTGAAGACCATGTGGGAAACTGAGGTGAAAGACACTTTCTCTTAAACTATAACACAACTATGATTTTGAAGCCTCACAATCAGGGTTTTGCGTGTTTGTGTGTGAGCAGGATGTGATGCTCCTCGGGGACTTCAACGCTGACTGCGCCTACCTCGCTAAGAAGAACAGGAAGTACGTGCGCCTGCTCACACAGAGCGAACTCTACTGGCTCATCCCAGAAAAGGCCGACACCACTGTGCGATCAACCACGTCTTGCACCTACGACAGGTGAGCCACGTGTAGGATCTGGTCCAGATTGTAGTTACAATACCACTCGTACCTCTAGAGGCGATAGTGAGTCCCTGTGGCGTCCAGTCTGTCCCCAGTCGTACATGCAAGGACGAAGACGAGCTTCCCTGAGGGCTTGTCAATGATAGGATCCTGATTCATGAAGTGTCTTAACATGCACGTCCTTACCATGCGTACTCTGGTGTGTCTGCGTGATACCACAGGATTGTGGTGCACGGGGAAAGATTTTCCCGGGCGATTGTGCCCTTTTCAGCAAAACCCTTCAACTTCCAGCTGGAATACCGACTCACAGAGGAACAGGTGATGTAACATTTCTTTTAGGATCAACACCTGGTATGTAAACGATGTAAACCATTGGGTCTGTCTAAAGTATGAAAATGTCCCTAATTAATCCAATGCTTTCTTTCAGGCGCTGGAGGTTAGTGACCATTACCCAGTGGAGGTCCTGCTGAAGGATATCGCATACAAAGTCGTTAGTGCTGCCACATACAAGTTCCCGTCTCTGTCCCTGTTTGTCCTCGTCCACCATGTCTTCCAAGCGCTCATGAGCTAGTTTAATGATAAACCTTTGGGGATTTTGATCATCTCTGATTCTCTGAAGGGCCACAAACTGATGAGTAAGAATGATTCTCCAACTTGTGGATTCCAACGTGCTAAACACACCGACAACCTGGAGGGGTTTGGGGTTCCATGTTTGGTTCAGGATCAGGACCGTCAGCAGAAAAACACACAGCAGCTGACGCTTACCTTTATATAACCTTCCAGTTTTGTATCTAAGTGTGTATTTTAATCAGCTGCTATCGGACATTTCATGGATATCTAACCAACCGTATTCAGGGAGCCAGAATTCAACAGCAAAAGTTGCGGCACTGAAAAATGTACATTGATGATTCATTGATGTGATGTAATCATTTATAAAATGATTTCTCGAGACAATGTCAATGTCTTATAAAAGAAGTCATTTTTTAAGTAGACATTTCTAAGAAGGAAGGAAAATCAGAAGCCAAATCTTGACATGTTGTGTTCACCTTCTTCTCAATGCAGATTGTGTTTTTATTTTATTTTAGTATTCTCTGTTTGGGGCAAAGAGTTTTCTCGTGTGTGTATACAAACGTGTACATATAAGACAATTATAGAAAACATCAAGATTATATTTAACTTCAGTATTTGGATTGAATGCATTGGGGATCAGAAAGTCCCGTTTAGTCTTTTTAGTTGTTGTGAATGCAAGAAAATGTCCGGTATGTTTTAATTTAAAGTCAGGTCATTTAAAGTCCAATAAAAAAGTCTATTCTCATATCAAAGTGTATGATCCGAGTTGAGTCCTTCAGGTAGAACATAGTTTGCATGGAGGGGCATGTCTGTATCTGTCCTCAAGTCTCCTGCACATCTGTCTCATCCGTCTCTGATTGGTCTGACTGATCTGCTTGTTTCTACACGTCACCCGTGGCCTGTTTTTACACATACGCGCACATGGTCACATGTTGTGGACAATCTCATTAAACACTTGTAATGGTGTAGTCCAGATATCTTTAAACCTTAAAACATCTAGTGGCTGAAGTGTAAAAGGCTTTCACATAACACACTGCAACACATGTTCAACTCACTCACGTAATATATTGACATTATTCGTTTAAGATTTAAGAATTTTAGAAAATAACGACAGTAGAAAAGGCTTGAGATACATTATAGTGACCGGACTGTGGGATGAAAGCCTGGTACCTCTGTCATGAAGTCATTGTCACTGGTCCTCATACAAAGAATGATTTTACCATTCAAATATTTTAGACTACAACACACATTTTAACCCATTGGAGTTTGATTCTTGTCCACATCAGTAAAAATAACTTCTTTTGCATCCTTTTCTTTTTATTGAAATTGTTGGTAGTCAATGAGGATGGTTAGTGTCACCTTTTTTACTTTTGAAAGAAGTGTGTGCAAGTTAGAAGTTATCTACAAACTAAAAATAAATCAGAATATTTAAATGGATCTACACACATCCAAAGAAATGAGAGTTTCTGAGAATGAGAGAGAAATAAGTCTGTACACATACGACATCCTCTGTCCCGAAACCCTCCATCGGCACAGGAAACACTGCAAGAGACCCCAATGATGCCATGTGTACAGAATGAACAATGTATAATACATGCAATGTATAATAGAACCACCATCACATAAATAGTTATGGCTTTTGTCAACGTTTTAAAGTTTAAATGGTGGCTGTAGCTGAAAGATTGACGAAGCAGAAAGATGTGAAAGTTAAAGAAGTTTGAGAGGATTTGAAAATAAACTGCAATGGAAATCCGTGTTAAATTAAAGCTGCGAGCAGCGACGGGTTTGCTTTTCAGAAATCTATATACCATGATAAAAACAGCTTGATGAAAACACTGTTAACCAATGCAAGCTTTGATAGTGAAGAAAGCATAAAAACTTAGTTTGAACAAATGCTAGAAAATGTGACTCGTACAGACAACTTTACATCTCCTCAGGCCCAGAGTCTCATCAAACGTGTAAATTGGAAAGAATCCGATGATGTCCAGTAAAGTTACAACCGTTTAGTTGTTGTTGGCGAAGGATCAACTTTGCCGATGCACCATCTCGCCACCGATTATCGGATTCTTATAATATTCATAGTGAAGCATCATCAAGGTCTTAACTCTCTTTGAGAGGGATCAGATTAAGGTTGCCTGTTGCCACTAGGTGGCGCTACGACTAAGGTTAAAAATGATCATGTGGATGTCGACAGGGTGAGAAGTTCATGCTACATGAGAAGTATGGAGCAGATTAGATGAAGTACGGCTGTTAAAACAACTTCAATTTTCATGCCGAATGGTGTTTTTTTGAAAATGCTCCCTGTGGTGGAGATTTGTGCATTTAGCACCTGTAAGAAATCAAAATGATCTTGAGCTTGCTTTGTGATTAAGTATTTATTACTAACTGGAATATAGAAAAATGATAAACACGACAGAAGTCAAATGACTACAATTCAGCTGAAAAGGGGCAGATGTTCCTTCTCCCTCAGAGGAGCAGGAACATCTGACCAAGTTTCTGGGGGAGAACAGGAGGTTTTATACACTTCAGGGAGGTTTGTGCTGCTTCAGAACAGGAGAGCCCCCCCTGAAAGAGGAGTGCTTGGAAAAGTACTTGGTGACGCAGGGAGACACCGTGACCCTCCCTTTATGGGACCCAGTCAATCAACAACATCTAAAAGGTCCGTGAGGGCACGTGTGGTTCCATCTGTGTCTGGTCTCACCCTGGACTGCCTTAGGTCACAGGCTCACATAAAGGTCACATTCCTGAGAGCCCCACCCTCCGCAGGCTCAACAATTCTCCCCCAACACATCGTTTATTCCGTCAAAATGACATTTTTACAGCCTACGGTTCTATTCTTCATAAATATTCTCACAAACGTAGGGTGTGTTCAGGAGTGCAATGTTTACATATGTTATAATATTGGTGAGCGCCGGCCAAATCATTTACAAGTTATGAGTTTTGCCAGATTAAGCCACACCCCTTGCAAAGTTCATTAGTCCATATCTATGAACAAAATTCAAAATGGCGGATAATCTAGTTAGTTGCATTTGCATACAATGATTGACTTTTTTGTAGAACATGTCCCAGAGCACATGTGTGTCAAGTTTCAATCGGATAACAGGGGGAAAACTGGCCTAGTGGGGTACGTTTCACATTTCTAAGGGGCGCTATGGAGACATTTCTTTCAACCCAAATGCGAGACTCCAAAAATATCACATTTTCCACCAATCCTGATCTGCATGCCAAATTTAATAACTTTTTGAATATGATAAAGGCCCCAAAAGGGAAAAATTCCTTAGAGAAATGAACTTTCCTGCAGAAAATGCTGAAAGCTAAAAGCTGAAATGAATTTTAAATTGTTAAAAATACAGAAGTGAGAAAAGCTGAAATGAATTTCAAAACATTGCTGAAAATACAGACATGATACTATTAGTCATAGTAGTATGCGCAGTAATATTGGAGGTAGTTGTAGTATTTATAGCAGCATAAATACTAGTACTTTGTTATAGCAGTGTGACCCAGTGATGTTCTACGCACAAGAGGCAGAACAAACTGGAACTATTGTCACGAGCGGACGATGGCCCTGAAGCCAAATGCACAACTCCAGACGCAAAATCAAAGTTTATTAACAAATAGCACTATGCTAAAACGGTTTATCAAAGGAACTCTTCAAATGAGTCAATAAAAAGAGATTAAATACACTTGATATCTCTATCAGACAAAGGGGAGGTCAGTGTAAAGGTGTTAGCCATAAAGTAAAGTCACAAAATATAAAAAAACACTTCAAAGCAACCAATCAAATCGCAGCAAACACGACGTCTAAAACCAACCACACGACAAACACGTGCAGGATGGCTGCTCTATAACTGTGACTCCCTCCAACACAGCAGAAAGACCCACAAGAAAATGAAACATAGAAAGGCCCCTGCAATTAAAAAGCTTTATTAAAAAGCCTATCATATGCTAAATAGGGGAAAAGCACTGGTGGAGCCTGGTGAAGATGGAGCAGTAAATAACTACAGTAAATAAAGCACTTAAGAACATATTAGCCACTTCATATGCAGAACATATGCAGAACATATGCTCTCTTCGTGACTGTGGACGTAATAGGACAATATAACTGGTCTTAAAACAAGAGCAGTTAAACAAGATCTTTGTCAAATTACCTGTTGCTTTAGTGCACTTAGTACCAGTACATCAGGCACGTGCACAGACATTGTGGGAGGCAGGTGCTCAAACCATTGACAAAATTATTCAGGAAATGCAATAATAATAAATAATTAAATAAAAAACACAATTTTCAGCTTATATATTTATATATATTCAAATGATCAAAAAACAGACAAAGCGAGGCTTTTTGTATAATCAAATAATATGTTAAATAATTAAACTTAAAACTTATCAAAACGCTGCTCTTTCTACTGTTTTCTTTTACAGTTGAAGCTTAAGCAGCATTACACTAATAATACACCACAATATACCTCACCAGACCCTCATGTAGGTCAACTCAAGACCTACCTGTCATTTCAATATTTGTATATTAAACAAAACTAGTCAACTTGTCAGCAAAACTGCCTTTAACTTCTGTCTGTCTGCCTGTATCTTTCTCCATTAGTTAGATCGATACTTTATTGATCCCTCAAGAGGGACATTTTGTCATTAAACATGACAAACATCAGTAAACAGCTGGACGAGGCTTTGAAATCAGTTTTCTGTTTCTTCATGTTTTAGGAAACGTCGGACCAATTGCGACTAATGTTTGCAGTGGCGTTAATGTTGTTATTAATTTATCACCAAACGACGTCGGGGGATTTAAAAAATGGCTGAAAAAAAATTACAATTTAATTTGAAGTAATTTTAAAGAAAACACAGACATGATACTATTAGTTGTATTAGTACATGTAACAGAATGAGTGGTAGTTGTAGTATTAATAGCTAGATACCAACAAGCTATTTTTTTATAAAATAGTTTAGACTTGTCAACATTTTAAAGTTGACATCACATCTCTGAGGACCTCTCTTGGACCCTCAACACCTCATCCCTGGTAAAGAAAGCACACCAGCGTCTCTTCTTCCTGAGGAGACCGAAGAAGGCCCTTCTGTCTCCTCAGATTCTAGAGAATTTCTACCGCTGTACCATAGAGAGCATCCTTACAAACTGCATCTCAGTATGCTACGGCAGCTGCTCTGTCGCGGACCGTAAATCACTGCAGAGGGTGGTGAAAACTGCCCAACACATCACCGGCTCCTCACTCCCCACCATTGAGGCGTCCAGAGCAAGAGATGTCTGCGGAGGGCACGCAGCTCTCACCCAGCCACAGACTGTTTGCCCTCCTCCCCTCTGGGAGGCGCTACAGGATGCCCCGTTCCCGGACCAGCAGGTTCAGGAACAGCTTCATCCCTGCGGCTGTCACTCTACTGAACTCTGCCCCCCTTGAACTCTGAACTCTGCCCCCAACACACATCTCCCTCAGTGACTGTACTCCCCCCTCCACCCTGGCTCGACTGCCACACACCTTCCTCCAGCCACTGAACATTTGCACTGTTATTGTATATCCATTTCTTACTGTACATATCTATTTATTCACTTATTACACTTTACATATGCACATACTCTGCACTTTTTGCTATTTTGCACTTCTGGTTGGATGTTAAACTGCGTTGCCTCAGTACTTGTACCCTGTGCAATGACAATAAAGTTGAATCTAATCTAATCTAAATAGTACATTTTGCAGTGTGACTGACACTTTGAGTAAAATTGGACACTATT